TACCGTTACTGTTTACTCTTAGCACACGGAGGAAAATGTGATTGTTATTCATATGACGTAACTTTTATTTTTGGTTTGGTCTTTATTTGTATTTTTTTTTCTGGCGATATTTTCTCCATCAGGTAAAGTTTACCTCTTGTCTTTATCGTTTTTTTTTTTTTTTTTTTTTTTTTTTTTTTTTTTTTTTTAAGAAATCCATAATGAAAAAAATGATAATCACAGGTATTCATGATAAGAAAAGAGATATGGGTGAAATCGATCTGTTTTTATTTGCGTCCGACCCAAGTTAAGAAAAAAAGAGAGGAAAAAGTCACAGAAAAAAAACTTGAATTTCTCATAGATGCTAGACTTTCATATCTGAAAATAGTCATCGCTCTGGAAGTGTATGGGCGGCTGTAAGTTTATCGAGATATTTCTAAAGTTGGGCGTCTCGAAGAATCGTTTCATAAAGTAATCTTTGTGCTGTAAAAGTACAAACTCACGATTTTTATCCGTGTGAGCTACGGTTTCTGTCCAAGCATACAAAACACCAAACAGAACCAGTTATTGACTTTAAGGCAAGAACAAAACATATATAACCAAGTAATTAGAGCGTAGGGCGTGAAAGAACACCATGGAAATGAATAAATAAATAGAGACAGGAAATAAAAAGAAGAAATTGAACGAGTCACGACCACCAAATATGGCGGCTGGAATCAACAAAGATTTTTTTTCCAAACCGACCGCGTTTCACTGTTCACTGCTTTCCCTCTCCGGTTGTCCAGCGCTGCTTGAACAGGGCGCTGGGAGGGAGTGGGAGTGGGGGGAGGGAGAGGGGGAAGAGGTAGGAGGGGGGAGAGGGGAGGAAAGAGGGAGGGTTGGGAGGGAGGGAGGGAGAGGGGAGGGAAGGGGTTTGGGGGTGGGAGGGGGGAGGGAGGGGGAAAGGGAGGGGGCGTGGGAGGAGGGAGGGAAGGGGGAAAGAAGGGGTGTTGGGGCGTGGGAGGGAGGGGGAGGGGAAAGAAGGGGGGGGGTGGGGGGAGAGAAGAGGGAGGGAGGGAGGGGAGGAAAAGAGGTGGGTTGGGGCTTTGCGGGGGGCAGGGGAATAATGCATCCACTTTCTACCTCATAAACGGAGTGTGTGGGGGGGGGGGGCTTATGAAGGTAGGGGAGAGAGCGAGCGAGGTGTCATGAGGGTTGGAGGGTAGGGAGAAGGGGGACGGGAGGTGAGGGAGATAGAGCTGAGTAGGTAAGATCGTTTTTTTTTTTTTTTTTTTTTTTTTTTTTTCCTTTTTTATAGGAGTCATGGTGTTATCTTTGGCTTTGTGATCTTCCCTTGAGATTGGGTGCCGGTCTGGGGGATGTGAGCAAGTCGATGACGTGTTGAGGTTCTTGTAATTTTTTTTCACTTTCATTTTCTTTCATATTCGTTTATAATTCTCCTGGCCTCTCCCCTTCTTTCAATCCTTCTCTTTCGCTTTCCCTCTCCCCTCCTTTCTCCCCTCTCTCCCTCCTTTATTCTTTTTTTCCTTCTCTCTTCTCTCCTTTCTCCCCCCTTCTCTCTGCCTCCTCTTCCTTCTCCTCTCCTCTTCCTTCCCTCCGCCTCCTCCTTTTCTCCGCCTCCTCCCATCCTTCTCTCCCTCCTCCCCTCCCCCCTCGTGACCATTCGCCACCCCCGCCCACCGCCTTGTTCTGCCCGTCCTTGCCCTTATATGCCGTCTCCCGCACGCCCTCGCACGCCCACGGTGTCCTTGGTGACCGTCATGTGGTCTCTGGCTACCGCTCTGCCCATCCCACATGCCACCTTCCGCTCTGCCCATCCCACATACCCACTGAGATCTCACCTGTAGAGGCCCGTTTTGAAGGCGTGCCAAGTGTGCCCATTCTTCCGGCCGTGCCCAGAGTGACCCTCCACGCTTTTTTTTTCTTTTTTTTTCTTTTTTTTTTTTTTTTTTTTTTCTGCGGCTCCGTCTTTTTTTTTTTTTTTTTTTTCTTCTTCGGCTCCGTCTTGAGGCGTGCCCGCTTATCCGATGTGGGAAAGGGAGTGCCCCGTTTCGTTCCTTGAGTCACGTTGGGTTCTCCTCTTTAATTCTTCGTTTCTCCTTTTTTCTTCTCCTCTTCTTTTCTTTTGTTTACGTTTCTCCTTTTCTCTCTCCTCTTTTATTTATTTATTTTTTTTGCGGTTCTACCTTTCTCTCCCTCTTCTTTTTCTTTTTTTTTTTCTTTCGTTTCTCCTTTTTCTACGTTTCTCATTTATCTCTCCTCTACTTTTCGTTTTTTTATTATTAAGGGAAGAGAGACATCTATCTGTCAGAGTCGATACTTGATAATAGATATAATTCCAGCATATTTGTTTTTAAAAATCTAATGGGTTTAGGTTATCGTTTTTACGTATTTTTTATTTTTTTATTTTTTTTTTTTTGCACGATGGAACTTCCCGTGACAACGTGGTCACATCCAGTCATGTCTGAAGTTTTACATCCATGACTAGAGATGTTAGCAAGTCGATAACGTGTTGAGGTTCTTGTATTTTTTTTCACTTTCATATTCGTTTTTAAGTCTTCTTTCAATCCTTTCTTCGCTTTCCCTCACCCTCTCCCTCTTCCTCCTCTCCCTCTCCTCCTTTATTCTTTTCTCCTGGCTTAGACGCGAATTTTTTTTTTTTCATCCATGACTAGATGAAAGAGCCTCATGGATCTCTCTCGAATTCCGGCACCGACATCCGCCTCCGTGCATCTCCGTGGCCATGAGGACCAAAAATCAACTTTCAACGCAGTGTGACTCATGAGGGGCCGCACCTCCCCCCCCCCCCTCTCCCCTCGTCTCCTGGTCATTTGGACGCTCTCCTCCCACACCTTCTTCTCCTCTCCTCCCACACCTTCTTCACCTTCCTCCTCTCTCCCACCACACCCTTCTTCTCCCCACCTCCCTCCTTCTCTTACTTCTTTTCTCTTTTTTCCCCATCATTTTTTTTTTTTTTTTTTTTTTTTTTTTGCTGTTCTTGTCTGTTTATCTCTCGTTCTCGTTTCTCCCTTTATGTATATGTCACTTGCGCCCCTTTTTGCTTTCTCTTTTCTTTTTTATTTATTAGTCTTGCTTCTCGCTCTCCCTTCTCCCTATATCTCTTTCCTTTCTTCTTTTTTTTGCTCTTTCCTCACTCTCCCTGCTTCCTCCCCTTCTCCACCTCCTCTCCTTTAGCCCTCCTTCGCTCTTCTCCTCTGGATCCCCTCACCCCCTCTCCTCCTTCCTTCTCCCTCCTCTCCTCTCCCCCCTTTCCTCTTCTCTGCATCTCCCTCACCCCCCTCTCCTTCCTCCTTCTCCACCTCCTCTCCTCTCCCCCTCCTTCCCTCTTCTCTGGATCTCCCTCACCCCCTCTCCTTCCCTCTCCCCAAGCCCCTCCCTTCATCACACCTTCCTCTGCTTGCCTTGAATGCCTCTCTCCCTTCCGTAGCCTTCTGTGTAGTCTCCGAACCTCCTTTCTTCCTGGTGAACCTCTTCCCTAAGCCTCTTTATAGCGTTTATAGCTTCGTGTACTTATTTTCTTGTTTTTTGTCGTTTTAAGCAATTTTAGATACGTTTTATTGCTCATTATTACGTACCGGAAGAACGGTGTTGAGACAAATGCTGAAATCTCTTTGTCGAATGTTGTCAGATTATCCAGCAGACGTGGAGAAGAAAAAAAGAGACACGTTTTTATATTCTTAAAGAATATGGTGATTACGTGAAATCGTTACATTAACTCGTAATATTCTCGTCTTTCTTTATCGTGGTGGAATATTTCCCATCATTATTTCATCACTTTGCATAACTCCCTAATGATAGACGCTTCTTAACCTTTCTTTATTAGTATTATGATTGTCTTCCACTTCTAAATTATATGAACAGAAAAATGACAAAAAAAATGTTTCGTAATTTTACATCTGAAGGAAACTTGTCATTCGTAATGCTCACAGTTTACGTTTACATTTGCAACGCCATTTTTTTTCTTGTTTTCAAGTACAGATAGGTAGGGAAAGAATGAAAAATAGAAGGGAGAGGGAGAGATAGAGAGGGGGGGAGGGGGAGAGGAGAGGTGAGAGAGGAGAGAGAGAGAGAGAGAGAGGGAGAGAGAGAGAGAGTATGAGGCAGAGAAAGGATGAGGGAGAGATAGAAAGAGAAAAGAGAGATAGGGATAGAGAGAGAGCGACGACAACCACAACCACACCTGACAGTAAAGGAAAGGAAAAAGTCAGCTGCATTGGTCACAACCCATATTCACCTTTGCAACCTTGCCACACCTCTGAACCCCCCCCCACCCCCATCCCCTCCCTCCCCTTCTCCATCCTTACTTTCCCTCACGACGCAAATCTCTTCCCTCTCCGCATCTCCCTCATTCTCTTTTATCGTCTCCCCCCCCAAAAAAAAAAAAAAAAAAAAAAAATAGAAATAAAAAAAAAAAAGAAGAAAGAAGAAAGAAAGAAAGAAGAAAAAAAAACATCCGGGTTAGGACCTTTATGCTAATAGGACGAAGGATACGCCCATATATCCTCAGATATTGGAAATCGAACGGGCGGTAAATATTTCAAAATATCGCCATGAGATATCGACTCATAAATGGACGACGCCTCTCCTGCCTAATAATCAATTTTGAAGTATTGTTATTCATCACGGTGGACCTTTAATGGTCTCTCTATTTTTCTCTGAGTGTCTTCTCTTCTCTCTTCTCTCTCTGGCTGTCTGTCGTCTGTCTCTCTCTTTTCTCTCTCTCTCTCTCTCTCTCTCTCTCTCTCTCTCTCTCTCTCTCTCTCTCTCTCTCTCTCTCTCTCTCTCTCTCTCTCTCTCTCTCTCTCTCTCTCCTCTCTCCATCCCTCCTCTCTCTCTCCTCTCTCCCTCCTCCTCCCTCCCTCTCTCCATCCCTCCTTCCTTCCTCCCTACTTCTCTCTTTCCCTCCCTCCTCCCTCCCTCTCTCTCTCTCTCGCGCGCGCTTTCTTTTCGCCATTGCACGATGACGTCACAAGGCGATGATGTCATGCGGGTTGGTCGCCATGGTTGCAGGGCTCGCTCGTGACTGGTCGAGATCCCTGTGGGAGATCCTGAGGTATTTCCGGTCATTCTTATGCAGTGCCTTCTTGTGACAGGTGCTTTGGGGAGGGAGAGGGGAGGGAGGGAAAAGGAAAGGGAGAGGGGAGGGAGGGGGGAATGAAAGAGAGGGGGAGGGAGAGGGAGGGAGAGAATGAAAGAAAGGTGGAGGGAGGAAGTGAATGAGAGAGCGGAGGTGAATGAATAGAGAGAATGAAAGAGAGGGGGAAGGGATATTGAGGGAGGGAGAAGGAAAACGGGAAGGGGGAGGAAGGGAGAGAGAAGAACGGAAAGGGTAAGGAGAGGGAAAGTGAGGGATGGGGAGGGAGTGAGAAAAGAGAAAAAACAAGAAAAGAAAGGGAAAGGGAGAGACAGAGGCAGTAAAGAAAAATTGAGATAAAATTGTTCATAAGACGTTTAAAAAAGGGAAAGCATGTTGGTTCTCCACGTTTTTTTTTTTTTTTTTTTTTAGGAATATATGAAATTTGTGATTATTATCATTATCCTCGTCCAATTTCCGAATCTTCTCAATCAATCACTTTCTCTTACTTAATCTCTCCTTTCCCTTTCCCCCGTTTATTGGCGCTTTCTCCGATACCCTTTTATTCTTGCTCCTCCTCCTCTTCTTCTCCTTTCACGTCCGGGTCATGCAAGAACATGTCGACCCTGTAGAAAGGTTGCGGTTTCCCTTATCACCTGTTTCTCACGACGCCCTTGTTTAGAATGCTTTGTTTTGTTACGGCGAGGGTCTGTCTGGTTGTTTGTCTGTCTCTGTTTGTGTCTGTCTCTGTATCTAGCTTCTCTCTCTCTCTCTTTCTGTCTGTGCCTCTCTCTCCTCTCTCTCTCTCTCTCCTCTCTCTCCTCTCTCTCTCTCTGTTTAAAAGAAGTGATATAAAATTTTAAAAACTAATCACATAAGGACATCAAGGAGAGTTTAATAGGAAGTACATCTATATTACATTGTACAGCTCAAGTGTTAGCGCGTAAACATGTTTTATGAAGGTTAACCCGAGTTCAAAGACGATCGAGTCGCCTAATTCAAATAAGGACAAAAATATACTTTTCCAGATGCTGTTTCTGGGAAAAAAGGGGTTCAGTCATAACAAGAGATAATAACAAAAAACATGATGTCCAAATGAGGATTACGAATACAAACAATTACCAACGACAGAGCGAAGGAAACGAACCTATTATAATTTACACACACACAAAAAAAAAGAATATGAATCATTCGGAAAAAAAAAAGACCACCACCCTGTTCCCGTCAAGGTTAAAGGAAATACAAAAGGAATAAATATTTAATTTAGAGTCTGCCTTGTCTCGAACCCAAAAATGGCGCGAGGACTTCGTGCCTAAAGATTTTCCTTCCTCTTATCAGCTGATACGAATGAATAACAGCCGGAAATGCACACATAACGGCACGTGTTAATGACCCATGGCAAAGGGGGGGGGGGGGCGAAAGGTGGTGTGGGCAGTGTGGGGGGATAGTGGAGGGCGGGGGAAGTTCCCACACTCTTCCTCCAAGTCACACGGACTAACCTACGCCATTTTACACTCGTGACAAGTACGGTTATAGAAATGGAATTTTGTTTATTTTTGTTCTCTGTTTGGCTCTGTCTCTGTCTCTATCTCTAACTCTCTCCTTCTCTCTCTCTCTCTCTCTCTCTCTCTCTCTCTCTCTCTCTCTCTCAGATAATCTTCCATGAAGTGATCATAACTTTCTTTTTTAGGAAAATAAAAATCATGCAGAGGAACCAAAAAATGGGTAGACGTTAGTTTCTGTTGTTCGTAAAACTGTTATCATTCATCAATTTCATCATAATTTGCAATGTAACTGCTAATATTTCCATGACTTATTATTTTCATTATCATACGCACCATTATTTCTACGAAAGCATCTGGTACACTTATTACTACTAATACTTATAACTTTCATCACTTTTCTCGCCACAACCCGTGAATTTACGTCGAAAGGCAAAACTCACTTCCACATAAAAAACGAAAAAAATATACATATACATAACTTATTAAAAAAAAATAATAAAATAAATTAAAATTCTATGATCCCAAACCACGAAGCACCGTACACCCTCGAGGTCCACCTTGACTGAAGAACCCGCGCTAATGACCCGTGGTTTGTTATGGTCGCCCGTTAACCGACCAACTACCGAGCGAGTGGTTCTTTTGCGTGACCAATTGGGCCTCTTGTCGCCCGCTCTTTTTTTCCTTTTAAACAGCCTCGTTAGCTGATCGTGTGGCGGCTGCCTTTTTAGAAGAGAGAAAATTCTTAACGGCCATTACGAGGCGGTGTTATGGCTGGCCACTTGATTAAGTGGTTCGAGTTGGGGAGTCGTTAGTGTTGTAGGCTTTTTTTTTCTGGCAATCAGGGCTTGAGTGAGTGAAGAGAAGACGGGAGAGAGAGAGAGAGAAGAGAAGAGGCCGGAGAATAGAGAGTGAGAAAGAGCGAGAATGGGCTTAGAGAAAAAGTGAGAAAGAACGAGACTGAGCGAGTGAGAAAAGGAGAGTGAGAACGAGACTGGATACGACAGAAAGAGGGACGAGAGATGAAAAATAGAAGATAGAGAGAAAGAACGGAAGAGAGAGAGAGAGAGAGCGACGAAACTGACTGGTACCCCAGCGCAAGATATAAGAGACAGAGGGAGGGCGTTTATCAAGAAAGAGGAGAGGGGAGGGTAGGAGGAAAGGGGGGAGGGTTGGGAAGGAAGGGAGGGAAGGGGGGAGGGAGGGTGAGGAAGGGTTAGGGAGGAAGGGGGGAGGGAGGTTCAATAGGTCACATATAACCGGAAGTTTTGTACCGGTGGTTGGTCGCCAAAGGGAGAATAGGGAGTGGTAGTGGAGGGGGATGGGAAGTGGGGGAGGGGGGGGGGGTGATTACCGTTGGCGGGCTGGCATACTTTTCGTACAGACTTGATCTTATTATGACACGCAACGTCACGATTTTCACGTTCGGTTTTTCGTGTGCTCTCTGTTGGTTTTCATTCTTTTTTTTTCCATACGTCTTTTCTCTCTCTCTCTCCTTTTCCCCTTTTTTTAAAGGTAAGCGCGGATAAGCGTTATACATATTCTTCACGTATAATGCTCTCATGCCCCTTATAAGTATGGTTTCGGGGCCTTTACGAGTATAATAAGGCTTGACTCAACTCACAGTCATGGAAGGGAAACAGACCCGTCATCGTGTGATTCACCTTCTATTTATTTCCCCTAAGAATATCTCAAGGAAATCGCCATTATCCTGTGACGTATTTTGGCGAGCAACCTCAAACCAGATTTTGTGATCTGGGTTGGTTAAGTTGCAAGCTTGAAGAATGACGTACGTGGCTGTTGAATCGGATTATTAGTCAATGGAAGAATGACAAAGACGTGACATAATTCTCGGTGTGAGTTAGACAGGTAAAAAAAATCTTAATTGTTTCCTAAAATATGTCATATGAAGCATGATTTTGATGTGCCACATTACAGACTAAATTTGGAATATTTATCGATAATTTGATATCTACACACATAATTGAGAGAGAGAGAGAGAAAAAAAAAACACCAAAGAATGACTCGTATGCTAATATCAAGCATTAATTATACATGTGCACATTTTCTTACATGAGCACTGTCTACTTATGCCAACATCTAATTGATCTATTTTTACACGACACAGTAAAGTCCCCTTATAACAAACACCTGACCGGTTTCTGTCTTTTGGAGGGTCAGCGAGAACCCAGAGGAACTAGATAACACCTGACCGGTTTCTGTCTTTTGGAGGGTCAGCGAGAACCTGGAGGAACTAGAGGAAACCAACCCCATGTGATGAATTATCCAAAGCAGGAGTAGAGCGGACGTGCTACCTATTATGTCATGTATGATATTTATCGAAGTTCCTCGGAAATGCTGGTTGGGTGGGTCTTCATGCTGGGATTTTGAAGGTTGTTATTAAATGCTTTATTTTGTGGGGTTTATGGTTTTATGGTTTTTCACGGTTGTAGGTTCTCTCTTTCTGCAAGATTGTGGTTGAGTTTTTGTGAAGAATTGTCAGCTCTGTGATTTAACGATGTTCGGGTTTTGTTGGGGAATGGATTGATATATAATTGTAATTAAAATTAGTTATTAGTTTAGGTTAGGTTAAGTTAGGCTAGGCCTTGGATAGAAAGTCAAGCCTGGCTACTCACTGCGCCTCAGGGGGAATATAGAGCGAATAAGCATTGCAAAAGAGCGCCATGACGGGGAGTATTAGCCCGAGCCGCGTTCAAGGCACCGTGACGACCAGACGACCAAGTTCCAAGTCATGATAAGCCTTTTTCCTTTCCCAGATTTTTTTTTTTTTTTTTTTTTTTTTTTTTTTTAATACTCGTTTGACCTGTTTGTTCTCCTCTCACGTGTGGTTTTATATCACGAAATCCGTACAGATTGGTTCCCTCTATCAAGATATCGCTAAAGATGATACTGATTTTGCAGCACTCGGTACCTAATCGAGGATCACTATCTATAAGCGTCCGCGTTAAGGTCTCCAGATGATCAGATCTTGTGCTTGCGGAATTCAACCTCTCTGTTGTGTCATACGGCGGAGACTTGTCTGTTTTCCGTAAATGTGGCGGAAATGCCTCATTTCGGCGAGGCTACTTGAGTATGATATGAAATGCTACTTGCTTGTACCTTAGATAATGAGTCTGGATATAAGCTTCGGCATTTCCTTAGCGTTTTTGGAAGGCTAGCCACATAAAAAAAGAAAGAAAGAAATATAATAATATATATATATATATATATATATATATATATATATATATATATATATATACTATATGTACCGCGGACAAATGTGCTTCTATGTTCTGGATTTTGTTCTGAATTAGAACTTTGTCATAAAAAGGGGAAACGAATCTCGTACATAAAGAACATAACTGTGACATGAGGTTGTAATATCTAATTTGCAAAGTAACGGCTTTAGTTCTTCCCTGTGGCATAACTGAATAATTATTCTTAGCTAACAACTGCCCCGAAACGTTTTGCTGTTTCATGCAAACCGAGATTTAACGGTCCAGCAGCGACGGGCGTGAGAGAGAACAAAATTACAGTACACTCCAATTGAGACTTCAAAACCTCCTCTTAAGTCTAATATTTCTCCCACTAATTATGACTCCTTCTAAACCCTAATTAATCCCCATTGAACGAAACAAATTAACCACCCCGTTCAACATGATGGAAGCTCAACCCCTTTATGGTTTTCGTGAACGAGTATGAGCACGACTGGGAGGACGACACATAGCCACGACTCCTGCGCCTTCCCCATGTGTTGAGTGTCACCGGCCCGTTAGCAAGGGCGGAGCGCTGAAGGAGACACCCCCTCGAGCTTCCTGTCGCCGACGTCGCAAGGAAGGGGTGAAGAAGGGGAGGGGGAGAGGAGGGATGAAGGGAGGGGAAAGGGGTGAAGAAAGGGAGAAAGGGAGAGGGATGAAGAAAAGGGAGGGCAGAGGGGGTGAAGGAAGGGAGGGGAGAGGGGTGAAGAAGGGGAGGGGGAAAGAGGTGAAGGAGGAGAGGGGGTAGAGGGGTGAAGAAAAGGAGCGGGAGAGGGGGAAAGGGTCTGAAGAAAAGGAGGGGAGAGGGATGAAAGAAGGGAGGGGGAGAGGGGTGAATATAGGGAGGGGGAGAGGGGTGAAGACGGAGGGGGAGAGGTGAAGAAAGGGAGGGGGAGGGGTGAAAGGGGAGGGGAGGGGGGAGAAGAGGGTGTAAAATGGATGGTATTATTTTAATTCAGTAAGGTTGATGGGAATCGTGATATGATGAAAAGAACATAGAAGGGACTGGTTTTAAAAGCTGAAATTAAAAGAATTAAAGTAACTGTGAAACCAATGGGAATCTTGATATGAGGAAAAAAAATGTTGGAAAATAAGGTGTTTTTTAGTACAACATAAGTGGATTACTACTAAGAGTAAGACAAAAAAAAAAAAAAAAAAAAATCAGGAAACTCCGTTCAACGCGGGGAAGTAAGAAGGAAAAGGCGAGGAAACAGAGCGAGAGAGAGAGAGAGAGAGATATGAGGATTACGGACCCGAAGTGCATAGTCGGGATTAGACAGTGTAATGAGGCGATCCCGTTATTCCTGCGCGGTATGGCGGACGGCGCGAACTTACTGCCCGTAATTTTTTTTTTTTTTTTTTTTTTTTTTGCATGGCTTTCGTTTTATTCTGCGAGCTTCGTGTGGTTTTGATGCGAGTGGATTTTTTTTTTCGTTGTTTTTAATTCGCTCGATAGGGAAAGGGGAGAGAGAGGGGAGAGGGAGAGGAGAGGGAGAGGGATAGAGAGAAGAGGAGGGGGGGAGAGAGAGAGAGAGAGGGGGAGAGAGAGAGAGAGAGGGAGAGAGGGACAGAGAGAGAGAGAGAGTTGGAGTTAAGCAATTATGGAGATGGATTACCTCTTTGATTTCGTCTGTCTGTCTTCGCGGTTGTTTTGGGAGGATGATCTTCGATTTGGTTTCAGATTTGGTTGGAAGATGTTTTTTCGTTCTGCGTAGATGATTTTTTTTCGTTTTATGAAGTGAATTTTTCGTTTTATGAAGGTAAATTTTCGCGCGTTTGTTATTATTTATGGATTTTTTTTTCGTGTGTCTGTAATGATTTGTAAAATCTTCGTGTTGGTCCTTGTATTATCTATTACTTATTCATCTTTATTTCACCATCCTCATAAAACATCTCATTCCGATGAGACTTCGCAAGCACACAATGCAATCAGATTTTTTATTCTTTTCTTGTTTTTCTCTCTTTCTCTTTCTTCCTTTCTCTCTTTCTTTCTTTTCTTCTTTCCATATTTCTCTTTCTTTCTCGCTTTCTTTCTTTCTTCCTCTCTCTCTTTCTTTCTTTCCATATTACTCTGTCTTTCTCGCTTTCTTTCTTTCTTTCATTTCTTTTTCTTTCTTTCTTTCTTTGCCGCCGAACGTGAGGGTTTTTCCGGCACGAAAGAAAACAGACGTTGTAACAAGGTGGTTTCAGAATTCCCATGGCGGGTGTGGAAGCGGCCGTGGTGGGGCTTTCAGAAGAGGGGAGAGGGGAGGGAGGGGGAGAGGAGAGGGGGGAGGGACGAAGCGAATTTTTTGTTTTTATGGTATTAGTTTTTTTTTTTCGTGTTTGTTATGCTTGCAGTCGGGGTTTGGGGTGTTTAAGTGGGTTGCCGGTTGAGGAGAAATTAAGGAATGGAGTGATTTGAGGATAGGAGGGAGAGAGGGAGAAAGGAGGGAGGGAGAGGGAGAAGGAGGAGGAGAGGGAGAGGGAAAAGGAGGGAGGGAGAGCGAGAATGGGGTAGGAGAGAGAGAGAGAGAGAGAGAGAGAGAGAGAGAAGAGAGAGAGAGAGAGAGAAGAGAGAGAGAGAGAGAGAGAGAGAGAGAGAGAAAGAAAGAAAGAAGAAAAAGAGAGAAGCGTTACCTACCTAAAAACCTCGATTTCATTCCCTCTTCCCATAAAAATAATAAAAAGAAACAGGAAAAAAAACAAGAAAATCGCCAGTTAGGGTTTCCGTAATACACTACGTGAGAGGGGAACCCATGACATCAGTTGCTTCCTTCCCGACTTTCAGACACCCGATAAATCACCGACCAACACCCCCCCCCCTCCCTCCACCCCACCCCCCCTCGCTACCAGCCCGGGGCGACGAGAGCGCTAGCCATGTGCGGGGGAGTCGAGCGCCCCCCGTCCCCTCCTCCCTCCCCCCTATCCGACTCCCGACTCCCGACGCCCGACGCCCGACGCCTGACGCCCGACATCGTCTTCGATTCGGCCAACTGACAGAAACGCCTCCGGTCATTTGTGATTGATCGCTGTCTGACGGATTCGTAATTGGGTTGATGTGGTGCGTCGCTCTGTTGGCAATCCTGTTACTATTACTGTAGTTTTATCGTAATGAATAATAAAAAAGTATATGAATGATACTATATATATAGATAGATAATGATAAGTAGATAGATAAAAATGCTTATGCCGATAATAAACGGTAATATGTTAATGATAAATGAAGATATGATAATGCTAATCAGTATGATGATAATATCTACAGCCGTATGAATAATAAAATGAAATTACTTCTGATTATGATGAATGATAATAATGATAAAAGTATGATAAAAACAATAGCAATGAAAAAACAGAACACGATGATAGTAAAGAAATAAACGACTACTTTTTTTTTACTTTTTCATCATGGGGTTTCTGTGTCCCATACACCATAAGGACTTAATCACAGGGTTTCGGAATCGCAAAAAGACTGTTAAAGCCAGTATATTATTGCCATAACACCCCCCCTCCCCCACCTCCCCCCATGGCCGTAGCCTCTCACTAACAAGGTGACAGTCTTGTCCAGTCTGGTCACTCCGCCAGCCAGATGACTGTGTGCATGAATGAGTGTGTGTGTGTGTGTGTGTGCGTGCGTGCGTGCGTGTGTGTGTGTGTGTGTGTGTGTGTGGGTGGGTTGAGTGTGTGTAGAAGTATGTATTTTTATGGGTTTGTGTGTGTGTGCGTGTGTGAGTGTGTGTGCACGTGGTTGAGTGTGTGTATAAGTATGTATTTGTGGGTTTCAGTGTGTGTGTGTGTGTATGAGAGTTTGCGCATGTCTCTGTGGGTTTCAGATTTACGTGAGTGAATATTTATAGACCTCCTTGCGTGTTTGAGAGCGAGTGTGTGTGTGTTCGCCTTAATAAACAAGCAGGCTGTTCTGTGTCTGGGCAAAACACCGGCTTTAACTAAGTCCGTGAGTAATTCTGCCATCAGCGGAATTGCATGCACTTCGAGACATACATCTGCATGCTTTACGACCGCGTCCGATGCGTGGCGGACAGCTGGCGCGGTCACAAAGCAGCTCGAGGTTGGTGGCAGCGGTGCGGTCATAAGGCAGCTGCTTATCGGTCACAGACGCAGGTGTTACTCGCTCACCTGTTGTGTCATACATTTTTTTTTTTCTTTTCTTTTTTTTAGGTGTTTTTTTTTTTTTTCTTTCGATTGTTTAAGGTTGTTGCACTTTCTTCCTAATATGGTTTTAGTTCCGTTAAGGTTTGTTTAGAATGGGAGGAAAGTGCACGTGGAATTTGTATATTTTTATTCAGTGTAACATACTTGACTTTCGAAATTTGTGGTAATTTTAAGGTAGATGAAATTGATACATTCTTAATAATATGACAGACTTGCCTACTATATATTTTTTTTTCTTCTTTAAAATTCATGATGATTTTAAGGAAGCTGGAAATTACACAATTTTAACAATATGACAGACTTTCCTTTTTCGAAATTTATGATAATTTTAAGCTAGCTGATAATTACACATTCTATCAATAAGGCAAAAAAAAAAAAAAAAAAAATAATAATAATAAATAAATAAAAATAATAATAAATAAAAAAAATGGAAAAAATAAATAAAATAAATAGATAAAATAAATAAATAAATAAAGAAAGAAAATTAATAATCTGTACTCATATTTACTCAAAACCTATGATAATGAGATACGGTTTAGAACGATCACTAATCCGACTCCCACCTTGCAGATTCTCGAACAAGAGAAGCACGGACTGCGCCGGAAGCTGACCGCGACCGAGAGCGAATATGAGGTCAAAATCCAAGAACTCTCCGTTGACCTTCATCATGCAAAGTGAGTGACGTCAGATGGAGTGCCTGCCTTTAGGGAGGGGGCGTGGGAGAAGGGTTGAAGGGAGGTGGAGGGAAAAGGCATATATATATATATATATATATATATATATAATATATATATATATATATATATATATATATATATATATATATATATATATATATATATATATATATATATATATATATATTATATGTATGTACGTATGTATACATTTTATATATATACACACATGTATACATACATGCATATATATATATATATATATATATATATATATAATATATATATATATATATATATATATTATATATGTATATGTATGTATGTATGTATATATACACAATATACATACGTACATACATACATATATATATATATATATATATATATATTATATATATATATATATATATATATTATATATGTTATATGTATATATATATATATATATATATATATATATATATATATATATATATATGTATATATACATATATATGTATATGTGTATGTATGTATATATGTATCATATATACATTTATATATAATATATATATATATATATATATATATATATTATATATATATATATATATATACATATAAAATGCATGTATATGTGGCTGCAATATTGCTTTGAAAATGCACATACCTAATTTGGTTGCTTTTGAAAATCACGCATGTTCTTTTTTGCACATTTCCTTCTTTTTCCCCTGCACGCCACCTACAGGGATCAGCTGCAAGCACAGTACGTGTCCCTCTCACTTTTACTTTGTGTTTTGCACTGGTGGCATTGCAGAATGTTTAGTTTGAAGTTTTTTTTCGTTGCTATAGAGATAAATTTGGATAGATAGATAGATAGATAGATAGATAAATAGATAGATAGATATCTGTATATATATTTGTATGTATATATGTATGTATATGTCTATATATATGTATATACACATATATTTGTGTGTGTGTGTGTGTGTGTGTGTGTATGTGGTATATATATATATATATATATATATATATATAATATATATATATATATTGTATATATATATATTTTATTTTTATTTTTTATTATTATTTTTTTTTGTACATATGTATGTAAATATGTATGTCTGTAGCAATCTCTCTCTCTCTCTCTCTCTCTCTCTCTCTCTCTCTCTCTCTCTCTCTCTCTCTCTCTCTCTCTCTCTCTCTCTCTCTCTCTCTCTCCTCCCTCCCTCCCTCCCTCCCTCCTCTCCCTCCCTCTTTCCCTCTTTCCCTCTTTCCCTCTCTCTTTTCTCTCTCTTTCTCTTACCATCTATCCATTCTCTCACTCTAGTTCGCTTTATTAGAATCGCATGTATTTGCACGTAGAAACCATGCTATGGAAAGCACAAAAAGCGATAGATAATATCAAGTGATAGATAGAGACAGCTTTTAATGGCTTGCTTTATCTGCGAGTGGTGATTTTAAGGCCATAGCGAAGCATGTTCACAATAATAAGGATTATCATTAGCAATAACCATGTTAAGGGTGATATTGATAACAGTAATATAATTGATGATTTCATTTGATTTCAATAGATTAGAGTTCATTGGTTGATTAGAAGGATTGATGACAATATTACCAATGATGATATGAAGGAATATTATCAGTATAGGCGGAGATTGGGAGCCCTTCAGAATGGGGTTCATAGGCCTATGTGTAGTGTTTGTGTTCATTTGGAGTATCTTTTTGTAGGAAAATTTTGCCAGGATGGAAATTTGTGTATAGTTGTGTGTATATGCGTGTGTGTGTGTGTGTGTGTGTGTGTGTGTGTGTGTGTGTGTGTGTGTGTGTGTGTGTGTGTATGTGCGTCTGTGTGTGTTTGTGTTTGTGTGTGTGTATGCGCGCGTGTGTATGCATGCGCCTGTTTGTACGCACACTATATTTATGCACATATTTCCATCAGGCTTATCGCGGAAAAAACAACAACAACAATTCCTGCTCATTAACAGACGCAATTGCTAACCGACCCCCCCCCCCCTTCCCGTCCAGGTCCGAGATCGCAGAGCAGCGCGAGGCCGTGCGCCAGAGCGAGCGAGACAAAAGTCAGCTGATCGACCAACTCACGGAACAGAACCAGCGACTCACCACACAGCTGAAAGACGTGAGTAAAGGGGCGACTTCATTACAGGGAAAAGCTTGGGTTAAGTTCATGAGATGTGTATTACAGGGAAAAGCTTGGGTTAAGTTCATGAAATGTATATCAAGTAATTAAGTTAATGAGACTTTCCTTCGAGCTTTATTGACCCTTCGCCCTCGTCCACAGAGCTCCAAGCATGAGCAGCAACTGGAGCAACAACTGCAACTCCTTCGGGATCAGTTCAACATCCGAAAGTCGAACATGTCGGAACAGGTGTCGACGCTGGAGGTCCTGCGGCAGGAAGTACGTCCAAAAAACTTTAATGTTTACCTATTTTAAAGCATTTTGGTTTGTCTTCTATCTCCTGGGTAACTTCATGATGATAGTTCAGATTGATTCAAATTTATTTTGAAATAGGGAGCATCAACTTCATTCAGCATTATTCTTCAATCTTATTCCTTAACCTCTAGAAGAAAAATATACTGAAAAATCCCACGTCAAAACAAAAAAAGAAAAACAAACATATATCTAAGTCAAGAGAATTAATCAACATTCTACCGCAAACTACAAAAAATATATTACAAATACAAAAAAAACATAAAATTTTCATCCACCTTAACCCTTCCCCTTCCACCTCCACAGATCGACATCTTGACCGACAAGAAGATCGAACTTGAGCGAAGGATCGACAGCCTCTTGAGCGACCGCGAAGGACTCAGCGTCAACCTCGACGAGTCCGCCGACAGGATCCAGATGCTCGAGAAACAGTACAGGGAGCAGGAGATCATGGTGAGCTGGCGCTGGGATGTGGTGTGTGTTTGTGTGTGTGTGTGTGTGTGTGTGTGTGTGTGTGTGTGTGTGTGTGTGGTGTGTGTGTGTGTGTGTGTGTGTGTGAGAGAGAGAGAGAGAGAGAGAGAGAGAGAGAGCGCATGGGAGGACATCCAGTGTTCATGGTGACAGCTTGGAAATAATTATCATGTGAGATAAGGAAAATGGATAATTTTTTTACTTGGGTGACAAAATTTACTGTATGAGTGCATGTGTGTTTTCCTGGCATAGGATATCTGTAATGTTTATAAGACCAATGTTTATGATAAATGATAGTGATGCTGCACAGGTAGCCAGTTTCGATTTCCCCATTTCATGCAGCCACACATAAGCCCCAATGCTCATAAATTCATCTCGATCCCCTTGCGTTTCGACATGCCTCCCATACCATGAGCACCTTCTATATCAAAATAAACCTAACGCAATTAGAGGCATTCCTACATACACGCCCCATACTTCCACCAACGCCCTCTTTCTTCTACACCACCCTCATTCCCCTCTCTCTCCCGCAGCTCCGAAACAGCCACCGGGAACTCGAGGACCTCCGCCACACGAACGAGTCCTTGACGGGTCGTCTGGAGGCCGTGAGTCGAAATTCCTCCTCGCCTTCCATGGGGCAGACGTCGCTCCTCAACGAGATGGACATGTCGGACCACGAGGGTTAGTCTCGCCCTGCCACGGGGGAGGTTCCGTTGGGGGACCTCTCTCTCGCTCTGTCTGTCTGTCTGTCTGTCTTCTGTGTTCTATTTCTCGTCCCTGTCTATCTGTTTTTTTTTTCGTTCTTATCTCTCTCTCTCTCTCTCTCTCTCTCTCTCTCTCTCTCTCTCTCTCTCTCTCTCTCTCTCTCTCTCTCTCTCTCTCTCTCTCTCTCTCTCTCTCTCTCTCTCTCTCTCTCTCTCTCTCTCTCTCTCTCTCTCATTCTCACTCTCACTATTACTGTCTCTCGTTCTTTTTCTCTTATATAAAAAATGAAATCCCATTGACGTATTTTCATAGCTTATCAATTCGACTTTACAGCTCGAGTATTAACCAACAACATGATGATTATGATCACTTTCTCTAAACCATTCTACCATAGAATAAACAATAAGAAAACCATCATAACCACCTTCATCACCACCATCATTACCCAAAGTCCCCCTCAACTAACCTCCTTTCCCCCTCCCGCCCCCCACAGCGTCCCGACCCCACTCGCACCCCAGCATGCAAGAGGACCTGCTGGACATGGACGAGTTCGAGTGCGACGACCCCATCATTTACCCGACTTCGGACGCCGAGACTCTCAAGACCGTGAGTACCCTGTGGCTCCGCCCTGTCGTGCTCTCGCCCTCGCGTTTGGGGCGTCGGGCTGTCTCTGTTCGCTTCTGTTGTGTGGATATGTAGATGTGCGTGGATGTGTGTGTGTATATGCATATTCATTATATATATATATCAATATATATATATATATATATATAATATATATAATATATATATATATATATATATATATATATATATATGTATGTATGTATGTATGTATGTATGTATACATACCTCATACACCTCATACACATATGTACATGTACATACCTGTTCCATATATGTTATATACCGTCACTTTATTATAAGTTCTGAAGATGGACGGACTTTGCATTTGACTGCATTTATTTCCCTTGCTTTTGATGCAATGAAGAGCGTCATGTAGCATGAAAAGCATGATGAAGAAAATAGTTTTATTGTATATATATTATAGTCATGCTATGCATTTTTTATGTCTCTTACATGTTCATGCATAAGCGTCTTTGTGTTTTATATATATATATATATATATATATATATTATATATATATATATATATATATATATATATATACATATATATACATATATATATATATATATATACATATATATAATATATATATATATATATATTATATATATTATATATATATATATATATATATATATATATATATATATATATATATATATATATATATATGGGTGTGTGGGTGTGTATATATACATTATATATGTATATATACATTTATATATACATAAATGTATATATATATAAATGTATAAATGTATATATATATATATATTTATATATAAATATATATATATATATATATATATATATATATATATATATATATATATATATATATTATATATATACATACATATCATACACTATATTTTTTCATGCACGAACCTTTAGTCAAACAATGTTTTCAAAAAATAAAGTATAGAGTTAGAAAAGAGACGCACTTAAATTTAAGTGATATAAAGTCAAACTGCTTTCGATTTGCAAAATGCCTCTTAGATGCATGAAGATACTAGTTGTCATTCATATAAATCTTGTCGGATCAGTACTAGCAATAGCAAGAACGCACTTGGTAGTATCTAGTTCCCACCAAGAAACTGCTTTGGCAAAACCCTTCTTTTTTTTTTTCTCAGTGAATAACTTTTAGGAGCTTGCCACGACATCTTCCATCAGTGTGTGGTGTAAAATCATATTTCCCGTTTTCTGTGATGCGATTTCTAATTTTTGTTTCTCGTTTTCTTTCTTTTCAAGGACACACCTTCTGTAAGTGACAACATCCCTGCACCAGTCCGACAAACAGTAGTGTTCTGTTAGGGGGTTTAGTGAACCCTTTTCTCACTTCTTTTTTTTTTGGCAACTCCAGAATTATGCAGATTGTTTCCTTACGTTTTTAATAAATTGATTGATTCAGAGAAATATAATTTGATTTATTTTTTTAAAGAGTTCTATTTGTGATGGTTATTCCTTCGGAAGTTATGATTTCACTCTGTTTGACGTTTTTATATATTTACCAGATAAAATCATATTTTAAAAATATACATTTGAATTAATAATATTTCTGGGTTTGCCACCATCTGCATGAATTATAGATATATTAGACATACATAAATTAACTCTGAGCCTTGGCATGCATACGTTTCGTCCAAATAGATGAATTTACTTTTAAGTCATGAACTATTTAGACTTAAGATTCAGCTACACACGTATGCATACACACACACGGACATTACTAACCTGTCCCGTCACTCCAGCTGCGTCAGGAGGTGGTGGAAGTGATCGGTCAGCTGCGGGTTCTGACGGACCAGCTGAGGCACCGCAGAAGGAACTCCCTGACGTCCCTCTCGACCAACTCCTCGGATGAGCTCTCGCCGGATAAGTTGAAGGTGACTGATGACTTCCGCGATGTCGTTGTTATTTGGCTTGTCTTGATTTTGTATTTGTGATTTTTTTGTTCATTTAGTTGTCGGTGTTTTGTATTCTATTCTTTTGATTTTTTGTAGGGGGATTTTTGGTGTTTTTCTATATGCTTTTGTCTTTTTTACTGTCTTCCGTTTTTTTTTTCTTTCTTCAATTCACGTCTTGTAAAACACATTTAAAGTTTTGGATATGTCATTGTTCATGTATTAAGGTTTCATTATTTACAAATCTCAAGCTTCGAGATAGCAGTCAGTAATTCACAACATCTGGGTCCTTTAGTCCTTCCCTTCCCATGAATCTCCTTTCTGTTACGCCCACTCGACGTCCCCGCCTCTAAATTCATCCTCCTTCTTCAGACCGGCGTCCTAGGAGCTGTGGCGAAGGAGTTACGCGGCCTGGTGCGGGACCTCCTTCGTCGAGAGGCCCAGGGGCAGTGCGGTGCTTGCGGACGCGGCGGAGAGGACCGTGTTCAGCTGGAACAGGAGGTCCACCGCGCCCTCGAAGCTGTCGACAAGCTGAACATCGAGCTTAACGAGACCAAAGATAAACTCAAGGCCAAGGTGAGTTTTTTTTTTACCTCTTCGGGGTGTAGAAGGGTGTGGTTTTGTTGTCAGTCTTGTTAAGAAGCTTTGAAAAGCATTTAAGTTTTATGTTTAAAAGAATGATACGTCGATTCATGTATTGGAAGATGGAAGATAAATACAAAAAACAGTCTAGTGTTTGAAAGATAACACAAAGAAGTATATATTTGCCAAGAGTGAGAGATCGACGCAGGCATATCTTCTAGTATATATATGTCAGTAATTTCTAACTTGTGTTTAATGACCTTGCACAAGTTAACTCTGCCCAAACACTGTGTACAGAAGTTTTATAGTTCATTCATAAAATCATTGCATCGCAGTATTTTTCCATTATTGTTTTCTCCTAACACTTCAATCTGATTTCCAGAGCGACGAGGCCGATGAGTTCAGTCATCAAGTGACACTCGGGGAGGCGCAGCTCAAAGCCGTCACAGAGGAGAGAGACAACCTCAAGCATGACCTTGAGAACACGCACCTTGCCAAGGACGAACTGGTCAAGAAGGTGAGAGGGAGAGAGAGAGAGAGAGAGAGAGAGAGAGAGAGAGAGAGAGAGAGAGAGAGAGAGAGAGAGAGAGAGAGAGAGAGAGAGAGAGACGAGAGAGAGAGAGAGAGTCTGTTTATACAATAGAAATTGTGGATGAAACGGCGAAACTGAATGAGTCACAGAGAAAGAGAGAGAGAGAGAGAGAGAGAGAGAGAGTAAAAAGAGAAATATGTTTATACAAAAAAAGTGTGAATGCAACGGCGAAACTGAATGAACCAGAAAAAAAAAATCACACAGCTCCCTAACCACGCCCCCCTCCTCCTCCAGGCGTGGGACATGCGAGACAACGCCGTGGCCCGGAAGAACGCTTGCGAGATCGAGCTGGCAAGGACCCGCATCGACGTCATGCAGATCAACTCGCAGCTCATGGAGGCCATCCAGCAGAAGGTCGAGCTCTCGCAGCAGCTGGAGCAGTGGCAGGTCGGTGTTTGGCCTTCTCATGGGGACGGTCCTTACTAGAGGTGGTAGTTGCTATGACACAGAGTAATGGTAGTAGTGGTGATGATAATGATGGTATTGGTGATAAGAGTGATAAGCACTGTTACTATTCGTGTTATCATTATTTACATTACTGTGATTATTATCATTGTTTTTTTTTTTTAGTGCTCATGATAATGGCAATGACAACAACAATATCCATTTAATCTGTACTATGTTCGCCCCGCCCCGCCCTCTAACGCCCAGCTGTTCCCTCAGGTGGACATGCAGCAGCTCCTGGACGAGCAGATGAGGAAGAAGCTGTCCAAGCTGGAGATGGCCGCCGGAGCCTCACGGTCCCAGGTCCACGCCCAGACCAACGGCAGCGACTCCGACTCCTCCTGCAGCGGCAAGACCTCCCCGAGGAAGAACTCGCGCCTCTTCTCCCTGCTGACGACTCTCAAGCGGTAACCCCGAGACATAGCTTACGAGAGCGAGAGTCAGCGGCCGGTTAGGGAAAGAAGGAAGAAACTGTAGCTTCATCAGTGACTATGTTCATTCTGTTTTTCTTTATTCGTGTGAAAGGAACGGAGTCGTCATCTCTTGTAACACCTTTTTAAAAGAAAACCTGGATTCTTTCTGTTGATATGATTAGAACTACAACAAAACAGCGGATTCACTTGTAACACTTTTTAAAAAATCAAAATGGCATTATTGTGTATATGTTAAAAAAAAAATCAAGATTGTTTGGATAAAATTCATGCAAAATTCACTACGTAAACACACGCGAGGCCTTGCAACACCATGTCGAAACTTCAGGGTTCAAGACCACGGTGTCTCTCTTGTATGGTTCGAAGGTCGTCCAAGGAGCATGGTCGTCCCAGTCGTAGCTAGAGACGACCACCCCAACCACCGTCAGACCCTCAGCCACCTTTGTGCATACACAGTCTCTGTTTAGCATGTAAGATTTCGTGTGTTTTTTTTTCTTCTAAGATTGGTCATTTTTTTCTCCCCCACACTCGCAGAAATAAGCCTTAATAGGTTGAAAACACTCGACCGTGTTGATACTATGGTAGAAAAACCCATAATGCACAAACAAAATTTATTGAAATAAATAAATTGTTTCAGTAAATCTAGTTTGTGCATTGTGTTTGTTTTTCTACTACCTAAATAGGTTTAGAAACTCTCCCAAATGCTACTCACACGATGGCCTTCCGATTTAAGAGAAAAAATATATATGTTAACAAAGTATTTATAGATATACAGTTTATCTTTCGAATACTAGAATGCTACATTGTATTTATCTTTTATCTTGACTTCACGAGCCGATGGTTTGGATTTTTTTAACGTTGAGCTTTAATTTGAATGTTTTTGCAACTTGCCCAAAACAAGGTTTGTTTGTGGGAAAGGGTGAATTTTCTTTCTGCAATAGAGACAAAGAGAAAGAAGTTTAATATTCTAAGGTTAAGGAAACATTCTCATGCAATAAAAAAATTACGTTATATCTTATAAAAGTTTTCTTCTTTGTTGAAATTATTTTTTTTGGGAATGCATTGCTGGCAAAACAGGCGGGATGTACAAAGAAGGAGATTTTATCGATCTGAAAATGGAAAAAAATAATCTCTAAAGAATAGTTTTTATAGATATATATTGACGTAGTAATAATATACTGTACTTAGCTGTGATATACTGAGCTCTTATTTGGCTTCTACGTGTCTGCATTCCCTTCTTTCCGATGCTATTTGACCAACTTCCTAGTCTTGACAACACTGATAAAGCCTCAGTATAAATATTATACTGAGTTTGAAACATTTAATGACGAAGCTGTAAGTGGTAAGCATTAACATGTTTTTTTTAATATATATATAACAGGATTTACACATGTATGTCAAACCCATTTTCTTTAGAATATAAGTTCTTCGACATATGGTCATGTTCATGCTTACATTACTGTATGAAGCTTATATATTTACGTGTGTTTATATTTGCTAGTACAAGTACACATAAACATGTATGCAAGCATGTGTGTGTGTGTGTGTGTGTGTGTGTGTGTGTGTGTGTGTGTGTGTGTGTGTGTGTGTGTGTGTGTGTGTGTGTGTGTGTGGTTGTGTATTTGGGTCCATACCTTCTCCCAGTAAGTATGTACTATGCCATACCATATGTGAACTAATCGATATTCCACATTGAGTGTTATATCGATTAGTGTGTTCCCTTCCATTCGGTTAATCTGAACCTCTTATGCTGGTACTTGGAAATTTATCTCATATACCTTTCGTTTCACTTAAAGTAAAAGTTAGGACGATTATATAATTAAACTAAATGAAAATACTGGTTTCTTTTTATTTTTGGGTTTATTTTAATTACTTCAGTTGTATATATAAATATATTTTGTAAGTGGATTCTCTGCAAATCTCCTTTTAGGTTCTCTGGTTCCGCCTCACTGGTATGTTGATTCAGGCGCGAAAATTGTAAGGAATTCATAGTCATTCTTTAGTCACTCTATTTTGAAAAGTTATGAATGAGAAAGGTTATTGTTCATTTGAAACCTAACTGATACATTTTATGTCTTTCATCACATTATTGTTTCCTGCTCTCTCTCTCTCTCTCTCTCTCTCTCTCTCTCTCTCTC